TAACAATAAGTATAATTACGGCTTTTCTTCCACTATTTTTAACTCAGTTTTAAACTTCAAATGCGATATAATTTTGGCTTGGACCATCTAAGCTGACTGACATCAACTTACTATAATTTCTGTTTACATTACATCGCAATTCGATGACACTCTGGCTCAGACACCAGAATGTTTTGACGATTTTTAGTATTCGTTTAGGATTTTCAAACAACCTGGTCTCTTTTAAAATACTTTTAATTTGTTCTTACGTGGTTTTCCAGATGTAGTGACGACAACATTAAAGTTTAAAGAAGAAAATTCCAACATTTAAACCGACTAAACAATAACATAGTAAACTTGCATAATTAAACAGCAACTAAAAATTATAGGTTTTACTAAATCTTTTCCCGTGCAATTATTATTAGCATTGGAGACAAGGATAATACTTTGTTTGAAAGAGAAAAGAACAGGCTTTGAAGTAAGCCTAAAAGCGTTTAACTAGAAATAGTATTTCGAAAGTTATTAAGCATAAAAGATGAATTGCGTTTATTTTGATACACCCTGTAGATCATTAAACGGTTATCTTGCTTTTGCCTATCCAGCCGAAGTTATATAAGATTTAAAATGCCATAAATTTGTATTTTGTGCAAATTTTGCGCTATTTTTTTCAACTTTGAGCTAGAATAACGACAAACTGACCAGTAAATTGAATATAACGGTTTAATTGACCTTTATATAGTTTTGTTTAAGCTTTCCAATAATGTAGGTTACATTTGCCTAAAAATGATTTCAAAATTTGAACATTCTGTCCACAATGGTTTTCTATCGGTAGAAGTAAGAAAAACTTGATTTTCACCATGTTCCACCGAAGGGATTTTTTTTTATTTTTAGTATGTTAATCGGGACACCTTCCCTCACATTTTACCACTGAGAAAAATTCTATTGCAATCTCTTTGACCTCTTGTCACAGATTGACTGGACTATAAATGCCCCAGTAGTTATATAGTAAAAAAATGCCCTGCCGCTAAGCCATACTGATATGTTGTGTTATGCTTTTAACTTGTCCCTGCGGCAATATTACCACATACAATCACATGAGAAGATCGACAATTTGCACTTATTCAACAGGACGACCGTTGATGATTTCTGCGCATGAATTGAACCAGTCACGCCAAAAGTCGTTGATTGTATTTGGCAGAGGACTTTGTGTGGCGATGAAATAGTTCCTCCCAAAGTAGCCATGGACAAACACAGCGTTGATATAGTGAATTTTTAATAAACAAACAGTTTTAATACCATTTTCCCCAGCTAATTCCAGATTTTTTTCTAACGGACCGTATCCGCGCTAACCAAGTTTTCAGTTCATAAAACCATAGTGTTAGGGACTGGTCATAAAGTATAACTGCCATGGTGGGCTGAAGGTAAATCACAAATTTTGCCAACAAGTTTGGTGACCCATCTTAGGATTTAGATAAAAATTTCAAAGCCCATCTATCTTACAAAAAAATTTTCATGACCCACCCAATCTAAATTGGGAAAATACACTTTTATAATAAAAAAACTTGCAGGTATGAACATTGTAAATATATACTGGCACTGTATTGACATACATAATTCCACCAAGCTTGACCAACACATTCATCACCAATTACGATACTGAGCTGCTCTCCAGTTGGTTGTATTTGCTGTGATTCGACCATTTCTTGTTGTTGTATAAAACAAAGTACTGGCTTCAATAATAGCATCATTTGCATTTGATAATTTGGATAGTTTTGTTTACTTTATTATTGATATCTTTATTTTTTTGAAGTAGACATGCATGGGTTTTTGTTTGGTGGCCCAACCGTGGACATACAAAAAAATTGGCGACCCATCGAAACTGCCCAAAGATTTTCCACGGCCCATCCCAAATCACTCCAGCCCACCCTAGCAGTTACTTTATGACCGGTCCCTTAGTCTTTAAATCGATGTCAAAATACGAAATTTCGGCACTCTCCTTGCCAGTTTCATGTTAACCGCGCAGACAAAACGATAGAAAGGGACTGGGTTGACGTCTAATAGCTCTTCAATTTCCGCCATCTTTTTCGCTCCAAATATATGTACGTGTAAAAACATTTCGCTGAGAAAAATATGTCGAAATTTTTCTAAGTGCCGTACGGGAGCGCACACGTGAGGTACCTATTTTTTTCGCATATTCTGATATGTAGTATATATAATTTTAATCAGCACACTGAGGCAATCATTTGTGGCTATCCATGTGTGACTATTTTTTTGAGAAAAGACTTCATAGAGATTGTCATATCGAATGTGCACATTATTTAGAGATAATTTTTGCTCAATAATATTTACCTTTGTGTTCCCAAAATACTTCGAAAGGCATTGTCTACACATTATATCGTCAGATATATTATTAATAAGTAACAGCATGAATAAAAATCTCGCACTTGTGAGTTTTTCAAGACCTCAGATTAAACCTGTCCTTTTAGCTAGCAATTTTGACAATATACTCGAAAACTAACTTCATGCATTTGTCCAAATTTCAGTTTAAATAAGCCCTATTACCTATACACACTTGTTCTATCAAAGTGTGTTCAATCTATTAAAATTTAAATTGTCAATTTTGTTTTGTCGCATGGGTTAACCGCTACGGTTAGAATGTGGTTTGTGTATATAATAACATCGATCTTTAAAAAACTATTTTGTTGCATTTTACTAAAAAAGGGTTTGTCGGTGTATAGATGTATACTGACGTTGTCACGGGTTTTTAATTTTAATTTTTTTAGATTGAAGAGTAAATTATGTTAAGACTACAGCCTGGTGTTAGATATGGAATCCGCAAAACACTGGCAAGGTATACAAAGATGTAGACATATTGTTATATTTATATACAGTACATTCAATTGTTAGATTTTTCTTGGATAAGCCTAAATCAATTAAAACTCCTGCATGCGATGCCAGACCCAATCGTTACAACATTTTTTCTACACACGCGAAAACGCCCAAGTTGTAACAAACCTGTAGCAGACTTTAAGCAAGATTGTTACAAGTTGTTAACAGCTTGTTCCAAACTTGTTGACAACTTGGGACATGCAGGCAGTGCGAACACAACTTGTTGGCAGACTTGTTACAAGATGTGAGATTTTTGCGTGTGTACAAACGTAAAAACGCCCAAGTTGTAACAAACCTGCAGCAGACTTGTAGCAATGCTGTTCCAACAACTATATAGTCAACAGGATGTGTTCGCACTGCTTGTTCCCAGCTTGTTAACAAGTTGTCAACGCCTTGTTGACAACTTGCTACAAGGTTGTTGAGCTCAACAGACTTGTTACAAGTTGTGGCTGACAACATTGTAGCGAAATAACAGCATTGTTACAACTTGTTGACAAGCTTGCTACAAGCCTGTTGCGAACACATCTTCACGCGTAAAAGTCTCGCATCTTGTCAACAAGCTCTGTTCGCACTGCTTGTCCCAAGTTGTCAACAACTTTGGAACAAGCTGTTAACAACTTGTAACAACCTTGTTGGCATTATCAAACTTGTTGCAGGGTTGTTCCAACAAGTCTGATACAGTCATGATCTGTAACACAATATTTTTACATGTGATGTTACTCTGAGTGTATATCCACACCGGACAAGCTTGAAAAATATGCCTGGCCACAGTGGGAATCGAACCTTATACCGCGTAGCTCAGTTGGCAGAGCATTGGGCTAGTATTCCAAAGGTCGTAGGTTCGATTCCCACCGTGTCCAGGCATATTTTCCAAGCTTGCCCGCGGTGTGGATATACACTCAGAGTAACATCACAAGCATCATATTCACCTGAGTACATTACACCAACACAGAAAAAATCATGATTGCTAGATTACATTGATATCGAAGGAACTAGATTCTGTTCCGAAATATCACATCCTCGAACCGACCAGACCGCGTAGCTCAGTTGGCAGAGCATTGGGCTAGTATTCCAAAGGTCGTAGGTTCGATTCCCAACGTGGTCAGGCATATTTTTCAAGCTTGCCCGATGTGGATATACACTCAGAGTAACATCACAAGCATCATATTCACCTGAGTACATTACACCAGCACAAAAAAATCAATATTGTTACAATTACTTTGTGTGGTCGACCTTGAACATTCTTGTTATATCATGACTGTATCATACTTGTTAGAACAACCTTGTAACAAATCTAATAATGCCATCAAGCTTGTTACAAACTGTTAACAGCTTGTTTTAAACTTGTTACAACAGCTAGGAACAAGCAGTGCGAACACAACTTGTCGACAACTTGTGAACAAATTTGTAAAAAGACTTGTCTGTTTTAATTTTTAGTTTTCTGTTATTTTTTTCAGATGGATTTCATGGGGCAGTCATACGTCTGGAAAGCGTCTTATCCTAACTCTGGCAACATTCCTATTCCTCTATATTGTTTGTCGATATTTCCGCGTGTTTGAAGTTCTCAAATATGGCGTCTCTTATTTGAGAGTTATTTTGTTTCTTCTGAAGCAAGACAACCAACATTATTACGATATCATGCTTCAGGAAGCTCATGTGAGTTTTAATTAATATCGTATGGACGTCTATCTCATTCGAGAACTGCTCAAGTTGTATATAAAATCTTTTAGACCTTTCCCCTTATAACCGAAATTTTGATCTGGGCAAGTCTAGACAAATATTTCATCACAGCTTGAAAGAGCATCACAAAATTAGTAATATTCTAAAGTTTCGTTGTGAAATGTTGTAAAATGAGGAAAATAGAGCCTTGCGAAGTTTGCCGAAATTTTCAGTCATTTTGCATTACAAACGGGAAATTGCAGCCCCAACACCCGAATCGGATGTCACTTTCCCGTTTGTAATACAAATGACTGAAAAACGGCAAACTTCGCAAGGCTATAATTATTATCCGCATTTTACAAGATTTTGCAACAAAACTTTGGAATATTACTATTTTTGTGATGCTCTTTCAAACTGTGATGAAATTTTTGTCTAGATCGAAATTTTAGTTATAAGGGGAAAGGTCCATTATTCTCGTTTGGGATTCAAATTTAAGTCGCTTAATAAAGATGGCGCAACGCAGCATATGTATAGAGGGTCCATATACAGACCGGACGCGATTCGGCAACGCGACGCGAATTTTCAATGATATTTAACTTAAATGTTTTTCTGTGTTTTTCAAATATTCGGAACACTTAAGCAATTTTAGCTATTTGGTCTGCATAACTTGTAAAATTTTTATCCGTTGACCGTTTTATTTATGTGTGGGCCTTATATATAAGCATCAAGTTTTGGTAAACCACTCGCTATTTTACATCGAACTGAGTGCTTAGACTTTTTACAAAACTGGAAGCTTGCAGACTGAACTCACAATGTCATGCGTTTCCCAAATGGGCATCATCAATTTGGGCAAATGTTCGAAAATTGGAAGAATATTTAAATCCTAAATGTGGAAAATGCGATTTCAACCGACCACTATAAATCAGACCGCATTTGCTCATTTTTATCGCAATGATTCAATAAAGGTGTCAGCTAAAAGTCTGGTCTTTATAAATACGAAAACAGAAAACCTTTAAACGAAATGATTAACGCGCGATAAGATATCTATGGCGACAACCTGGCGAGGTTCCCATGGTTACCTTTTAGGGTGTCCCAAAAAAACCAAAACTATTGAAATAACGTATTGTTAGAATTTGAATGCCTCAGCACTCTGCTGAACCCACAAGTTCATAAAAGCTTGACATATATAAGTAAAGTTTTAAATTCCCAAAAGCAGAAAATCGTGCGCTTTACAAATATATTTTAATTTTTTAATAAGTCAATATTTATAATGTTAGACACTAGAGGTGTGCGAATCCGATCCGAATCCGATCAGATTCGGATCGGATTCGGACAGTAATTCACTCGATCGGATTTCGGTTTTTTTATTATCGGATCGGATTTTGTAGGTTTTTTGTCGGATAGGATCGGATTTGGTTTTTTTCTTGTATGTACTGTTTACAACATTCGCGTCCGTGTTGTATAGGATATAAGCCGAGTGATTTGGTCGAAGAGGAGTAATCAGTATATAGTACATAATGCCGAGTGATGACAATAAAGTAAGAAAGTGTTTTGATATTTCTGACAAAAGAAACACTGGCGTTATGTGAATACTTCTTAAATCGGTTACGTATGGGAATTGGGATATATAGAAATGTTGTGATTCTTTGTTTTTATTTTGTTAGGTTTATGTGTCATGAAGCACTGACACTGAGATTTATTAGTGATAAACTTTAAGATATCATCTCTTTGTGTTCAGCTTACTTAGGGTTAGGGCATTCAAATTCTAACAATACGTTATTTCAATAGTTTTGGGGGTTTTTTAGGCAAGTTCTAAACTGTACTTACTGGTGATCTGCAACCACTCCCATGGGATTCAAAGGACAAAGAGATTTTCGCCATGTTGGATGATACTTCCATTGCAAACAAGCAAAATCCTTTGTCAATGTCATCCAACATGGCGACGGTGACGTAACTTGCTTATCACCTATTACCATCAGGTTTCCTGAGTGTAACTATCTTTCTCTATAGACATTATGGAACTTACATGTTTTTCAGAAGAAATATATGACACAATGGTGCCAGGTAAGTGACTTCTTCCAATTTTTAAATCCATTTGTCCAAACACTGTGTTAGCCGTTTTAATGAAGATAAACACAAAGTATTTTCTATTTTAGGATATTCCAAGAAGAGACAACGTCACGTGGCTAATTACTCTGGTAAACGTTGCACACACATGCAAAAATCTCACATCTTGTAACGAGTCATCAACAAGTTATGTTCGTACTGCTTGTCAACAAGTTTGGAACAAGCTGTTAACAACTTGTAACAACCTTGTTGATATTATCAATAGACTTGTTGCGAGGTTGTTCCAACCAGTCCGATACAGTCATGATATAAAAATATCGTTACACCTCGTGTCGTCAACCTTGTAACGTTCTTGTATGACTGTATCAGACTTATGAGAACAACCTTGTGACATGTCTGATCATGCCATCAAGCTTGTTAAAAGTCGTTATAACAGCTTAGCTTGTTCCAGTGCGAACACAACTTGTCGACAGCTTGTAAACTGCAGATTTGTAACAACTTGTTTGCAGACCTGTAACAACTTGTGCGTTTTTACGTGTGTGTATGATGATGATTTTACTCGTGCAGTGTTGCATATCTTGCACGCATCTATAAAGTTCTGTGTTACCATGTCTCCCACTGAATAAAATTGTCAAGTATTCTGAAATCAATTTTTGACACTGTTAAAAAGTGATTTATTAAGACATTTACATTTTTCTCCAAGTGTCTCCACAATGCAGGAAATGCCGTTTACGAGACCCCAAAATTAATTTATTCTCTGGGCTATGCCCCCGCGGACCCTAGAATTGTGACTCAAAAGGTTAACTGTGTTTTTCCCCTGATTTTGTAGAACAACGATGATTTAGCAACTGGGGCTGTTACACTTGGTTACATATTGCAAAAATTCTCATGTCATAAGTACGTTAATAGAAACCTAAACTCATCATTCGTATATGCTACTGGGGTTCGCACTTAAAACGCACAAGTTGTTACAACTCTGTTCACAAACTGTCAACAAATTAGTTGTATTCGCACTGCTTGTTCCTAGTTGTTGTAAGAAGCTTCCAACAAGCTGCTATACAACTTATAACAATCTTGATGGCATTATCAGATTTGCCACAAAGTTGTTCTAACGAGTCTGATACAGTCATGATATAACAAGAACGTTACAAGGTTGACGACACAAGGCTGTAACAATATTGTTATAGCATGACTGTATCGGACTTGTTGGAACAACCTTGCAACAAGTTTGATAATATCAACAAGGTTGTCACAACTGTTGACAAGTTGTTCCTTACTTGTTGACAATTTGGGACAAGCAGTGCGTGAACACAACTTGTTGAGGGCTTGTTGGCAGACTTGCTACAAGATGTGAGATATATTTGCGTGTGTATTCAAAGCGATTTTGATTGGGTTGTTTACCGGTAAAACTGATTGGCGTAACTTTCAATTTTCAGGAAGCTTACAGCATTAGTCACCGAAGATCTGAGCGTGAACTCTCGTGATATCCTGAAGAAGGCAAGTTACCGTAATCTATCACTAAGGTTGGGCGATATTTAAAAAATCATCTCACGATTATTGTCAAGGAAATTATCACGATATTCGATAATATAGCGATAAGTGCAATAAAAACAATGATATCAATTTCAATTAATATCAAAGGACAGTAAGCTTATATATGATCTTACGAAAAACAAGTAAAACAAAAAATTAAAGTAATATGAATGCTTTTTCTAGTCTAGAATATTTACTGTTCATAAACGTGAACGGTATATGCAGTGTCTACTGTGTTTCCCCTGTGTCTTCTGCAATTTCATTGTTCAGCGGATTAATTATTAGCTTTTGTATCGTATTAAATTTGTATTTAATTGTGGAAATAGGTTTAATTCTTTGAAAAACTATATTTAGGACTTGAAAGAATTTTTTAAGATTTTATAAAAGCTAAATACACATGCGAAGCAATATCACAATAGGCATCGAGCATGACGATAATTTCGATATATCGTCACTCAAGTTTCTACCTTCGATACGATAATCGCGATTGAAAATGTCGTGATAAATCAAAATATCGAAATATCGCACAACCCTATCTATCACGAATGCGAGTGTAGTTTTTTAGCTTAATTTGGTTGGCTATTTTGCTCTTGTGTCGCGTATAATAGGGTAACAAGCATCGAGAGTAGCTGCATGTGTACGCCAAGGGATACGATAACAGAGTAAAAAGCATTGACATTGGGCACATATAAGAGGCTTCGGTGAATTTGACTAGGACTTCCTGGTTTAATTAACTAGACTATTAGATTGTTAAATAACCAGAGGCCCCTAGCTTAAGTTACACATTATTACTTTAGGTTGGTTATGAAGTTTTGTTGGTCGAAGGTTTGGACTGTAATTGGATGGACAGCTTGAAAGGAAATCCGAGGAAAAACATTGGTTAGCGCAAAATTTCATTTTTAACGTCTCGGAGGAATTTATAATACTATCTCAAATCATTAATAATTTATGAGCAAATTAGCCAACCATATTGCTTCAATTTGCTCACATGATAATACTGGATATCTGATAAAGTATATTGATCCTGTCCTAGGACTGGATCAAAATTAATTAAGTCCTTTCATTTCAAGTTAATTAAGTCCTTTCATTTCAAGTTAATTAAGTCATTTCATTCCAAGTCCTCGCATTTTGATCCAGTCCTCGGCTTCGCCTCGGACTTGATCAAATTGCGAGGACTTGAAATCTAGTCCAGTCCTCATAGTCGAATTAGAAATATTACGACTAATCCCTCCCTCTCTTGCATATTGTAGTTCTGAATATAGAATGATAGAATGTGGGATGTCAACAGTTTCTTCATATTTTCTAGGCATCCCTGGAACTCATACACGTTTTCATGCCTGGAAACTTGAACAATATGAGAAGGTAAAATGTTGCCAGAATGATCGTTTACACCTCTGTTTATTAACAGGGTAGTAAGGCTAAGTTAACCATGTAATTTTAAACCGCAGAAACGATGTATATTCGAGAGAACCCTAATTAAAGTGGCCCACAGGCCTTTGTAACCTGAAAATCTGTACTTCAACTTGGGAGAGCCCCAAACATGAAATCTGGGCATACTTGAAATGAGCTGCCCAAACTTTTAGACCTTTTTTAATTTGTGAAAACTGACATTTTGGAGTCTTAGGCCAAGTTACCCCAGTCTCAGCAGTTGGGCTTGTGGATTGCAGTAAAGTATGAATCGTTCTCCAATCTTTTAGAGGTTTTCTATTTTTACTGATTATATGAATAACATTTTTCTCCCTTACAGATTGTTTACGTGGACACGGATTTTCTTCCTCTTGTCAGCATTGATGAAGTAAGATCTCTCTGTTTTGTAATTATTGTTATCCCGCAAACCATTTAGTACATTAAAATTGCACTATTAATTAAATTACTTAGGGACCGGTCATTATTTATGGCGAAAAGGAATGTTTTTCTTGAAAAAATATTTTGCTGATCCAACCATTGAAAAGTCAAAAAAATTTTACCCAACCTCAAGTATCAATTAAAAGATGAATACCCAACCCTGGCCAAAAACTTTACAAAAGGATACCGTTCAGTTGTCACACATGTTCTTTACCACTTCTGTGACATGAGTTTGATAACTGCTTGTGCAATTTTCTGCATTCAAAATTTTCATGTTGTCTGCACATGTACTTTCTTTCGAGACACCATTTGCCTCCTGGCAAATCAGAATATGATCAAGATAGTGACTCTGACAATCTCGTCTCCCGAGCCTGCGATCCTCGGGAAGGAACGCGAGGCTCTGGGATAATCTGTTTCAGGGAGAAATCTGATTGGTCGTTGAAATGGAATGCGTAGTTCCAGCCGTTCCGCACGTTGTAACCAATAATTTATTGGCGTTGTAATGCCATTGTATGCAATAAAGTATTGGTTACAATGGATCTACAACTAATCCAAACGCTAATCCTAATTCAAACCCTAACCCCTAACCCTAACCCCACCTCCTAACCCCTAACCTCTAACCCCACCTGCTAACCCCGCAACCTAACCGCACACCCTAACCCCGGCCCGCTACCCCTCCGAGGATATGCCCTGCCGCTTCCCCTCCATCCACCAAGCAAAGCCAATTACACTTATACCTAAAACTTTTGTGCAGTGGTTGCGGTTTTGTTTTCAGTTACAACCCAATACTTTATTGCATACAATGGCATTACAACGCCAATAAACTATTGGTTACAACGTGCGGAACGGGTGGTGGTTCAATCTTAGCCAGAATTCCTGGCTTCCGGCAACGGATTATCTAAGAGCCTCGCGTTCCTTCCCGAGGATCGCAGGCTCGGGGAACGAGATTGTGACTCTAATTGATTTATACATTGTATTGACATGACTGTTGACATTCCTTTTTAGTCTTCAATATTTAAGTGAGTCATGCTTTGGAAATGACAATACATTTTTATTACCCAACCCTTGAGTTGTTTTGCTTTTTTATTTACCCAACCTTTTACTCACTAAAAATTTTGTTTACCCAACCCTTTTCTCTTCGGTGCTAC